GAATGGGAAAACAAATAGAAAATATCATTGCCAAAACATTAAAGACCTCCTAAAATGTTTAAATCAGTGAGATGAACATAGCGGTTGGTTTTCCACCTATAAAGAAAACCAGTTTTATTTTTGTCAGGGTATTACATGCAAATAGCTAAAAGTCAAAATGTGCTAAAAGGGCTATAAAAAAAAAAGAAAAGCCCCTAATTCCTCCAACCCGGCCAGTATCTTATTCCCAGGGACAACCGCTTTCAACAATTTTAGCTATTTTGTCTAGAATTCATCACCATATTTCCAAATAATATCATTTCTTCATTCACCAAGTTTAGGTTTTATCTGCTAATTTCCTATTTTAGCAGGTAAGAATTTTAGCTCATTTATACCTCTTTTCTCTCCCAACTCCAATCTCAAGTTTTGGTTAAATTCATGTTCAGTATCTTCAGTATTAGGACCATGTAAATATTGTCCACTGCTAAACCAAATACTGCACCACGATGGCAGTGCCTTTCCTGTATTTTGTCTCTCTCTGAGTTTAATACTTCTTTTTTTAAATTTGCTTAGTTTCTTTGAAAATATAACTAAATCTCAAATCCTCCAACACTTCTGTAAAATCTCTCAATAAAATGTTCTATGAGTCCCGACCTCAAGCAGAAAGAACGCTCTCTGGTCCAGTGTGTCACGAGACACCAGTTTTGTGTGGGGTTAGGAGAGGCGGTTGTCTAACTGCTGGCTGGAAGGGATATCACTGCTCCTTCTACAGATTTTTCAGACAGGTTCTCTGTTTTTGGTTCCTGCCTCACTCCTGCTTTTCAAGATATTCCCGAGGCTTTTCAGGATCTGGCAACCCACTCCCCAACACACGCACAAGCAGTTTCTCCTTGTGATACATTATCTGCCATTCTTCCTCCTACTTTTTGTCTTCATGTATTATGGTTTAGGATTTCAGTTGCTTCCCATTTTCTTCAATGATATTTCTGTTTCTTGACATTGTCACTTTGGGATGAGCTTTTTAGACAAGAGGATAAAAATATCCCTGTTCTTCCATCTTGACCAGATGTCTCCAACAGAATAAATTATAAGATAAAATATATTCAGAATTTTTGCTCCAAGTAAAGCTACCTACTATGAAATATATAATACCAGCTCTTTCCGATTTAAGCGAAGAATTAGACACAAATGCTTTGCATGTACGTAAAATACAAAAGGACTGGCTTGAGGGCATTAGAAGTCAAAAATAAAAAAGAATCACGTTAAAACTGCTGCAGATCATGTTCATGATCAGTTTTAGGTATACCAGTTATCACTTTCGCTGAAAATACCTGTCCATGCTCATGCCACAGTGTTTCACATTTAACCCGAAGATAGTTACAACCTCAAATTAAAAGGCCTTCTTCTTTAAAAAAGCAAATATTCATATCTTTGGAAAAGGCAACTTATCAAGTCCTCAGCACCTTAGTGTGAACCAGCTTGCATTCCTTGAAAACTGGGACTCAGGACTACAAGATACAGCCCTTAACTGTCATCAACGGGTTCTAATTTTAAAATCTAGGTGAGGAGGCAA